AAATTATCCAATCATATTGTGTCCTATATCAGAGAGAGAGAGAGAGAGAGAGAGAGACAGAGAGACAGAGAGACAGAGACAGAGACAGAGACAGAGACAGAGACAGAGAGAGAGACAGACAGACAGACAGAGAGAGAGAAACAAATAGAGCCCAACCTACCTTTGTGTGGATTTGTACCACTAGGACACGGGGAGATCATGCAGGGGTATGGGTAGCCGTAGTCGAGTGTGAAGGGCCAGGGGACGTTCGCGTCTCGGGAGTAGGTGAGGGAGATGTCGTACAGGTAGTCCAGTTCTCCCAGAATTCTGGGCTGGTCGTCGCCGGCGGTCTTCAGATTGGGACTCCTCCATCCGGCCACTTGAGACGCGGGGACCTGGGAAGTTATTGCAATAATAATAATAATAATAATAATAATAATAATACTGATAAAAACATTTCTATAGCGCAAATCCCTGCCCAACAGTTCTATGCGCTTTACAATCTATAATATCATTACCCCAACAGACCTGATAACATTCTGAAACATTTTCATACAAGCGCACGCTGCCATTATTTTTACAGGTGCTTAAAACTCTACATGTAACAACCTGGCAAGATTTCCCGCTGTCTATGATGGCCGGGTACCCATTCCCACCTGGGTGAAGAGAGGAAAATTCGTGTATCAGTAAGATACATTACTTCTAAGTTTATTGGTTTGTTTGTTTGATAGTAAAGGTAAAGAGAGGGTCCCATGACGAAAACTTGTCTTCCGTGCATGTAGGCCTTTCCTTGTCCCGCCTTTGCCTCTCCCCTGTTGTTACAAGTAACTAGGAACAAGGGCAGTTTTACTGTCAAGCCAGCATACAAATGCTCTGCTTTTTGGGGGTCAAACGGCTGTATTTTTTTCATGAGATCAAACAATAGGTTACTAAAACTGTCACAAATCATTTAATTTCAGGAAAATTTCAAAAACTTTACTGTGAAACATTTAATTATGGGGGAAAACAGGGGGTCATGCCTTGTCACCCCCCCCCCCCCCCACCTTCCCCCTTCCCCCTACCCCGGATTGGTCCAAAACTCTGAAATTTGCCCCGTAATTAGACTTAACTGTAGTTCGAATAAAACCATTTTGCCCAGCATTGCGACAAATTATCATGATAACAAGGCTTAACGAGGGAAGAATTTAAAACAGCGACCCAAAATGTCGCGTACACAGAATAGTGGCCCTTAATACGCGTATTGGGTCAAGTGAGGGACGTTAAATTTGTTTGCTTGTTTGTTTGTTTGTTTGTTTGTTTGTTTGTTGTTTTGATTTGGGATCATTTTTGTTTGGGTTTTTTTATTTGTTTGTTTATTTGCTAAGAAGGCTATTTTCCAACTTCCTACTTGATACTGACCTACAGATTGTTCGTGCCATTACTTTTGATATTAAAGTTTTGGGAGCTCCTAGTCTGACTTTTCCCTTTGACAAAATTAAATAGCGTACCACCAGCTCCTGCCAATTCAATCTAACTAAACCCCAAAACCGGTGTAGATCTACCCCTGCGTTATTGACGATGTTCTGTTTTTGCTGGTTGGCTTCCTCCTGTAGCTTAGCTGCTGTGTCGATGTCCGTATGTGTCACGCTGTGGACGCCAATCTCCATGCCCCTCTGTTGGTGGAGATAAAAAAAAAGATATTGTATCATTTTGATCGACACCAACCCGGATACCTCTCTCTCTCTCTCTCTCTCTCTCTCTCTCTCTCTCTCTCTCTCTCTCTCTCTCTCTCTCTCTCTCTCTCTCTCTCTCTGTCTGTCTCTCTCTCTCTCTATCTATCTCTCTCTCTCTCTCTCTCTCTCTCTCTCTCTCTCCCTCTCTCTCTCTCTCTCTCTCTCTCTCTCTCTCTCTCTCTCTCTCTCTCTCTCTCTCTCTCTCTCTCTAAAAGATAAACGAAGACTACGGGCGGGAAAAAGACAGTTGTCACAATGTTCCATGTTTGTTTATGCCTGTCTTGATCATTTATTTGGCTTTTTTTTTTTATTTCGTCCATCGTAAAAAATTAATTTTACTTAAAACCCCGTAATATAACACCGGTAATTCAAAACAGCTGTGAAGGGAAAGAATAGATGGTTGCAGTCTTATTAGATCCCATGAAAGAAAACTACTAGGCTACATTCCTTCTGTGACTTTTGCCTTTTTCCCCTTGTAGAGAGTTCAAATACATTGTTTTCACCAACATCAATCTGGATTCCCACTCATTGTGAGAATTTAAAGGAAAAAAAAAGACAAACGTACCATTTTGGTAAACATCAATCGCCCAATACGTTAATTTTTGGGAGGGATAAAAACGCATAAAAGCGTTATCTTTTTTTATTGAAAGCAAGTGGATGTGCAGCACTTCTTCGAAACATTTACTTGGCTTGTACATTAATGGACTAATATCGATAAAACTTATCCTCTAGTTAGTCAAAAAGAATAAATATTATTTTCTCTTTTGGGTAAACGACTTAAAGTGAAATTTCCTTCGAGTATTTCTATTCTGGACTTCTTACAGGCCGTGTGGTTATGAAGAGAGGAAGAGGACAGCCTCGAATATCGTTTTCTCTGCTTTTCCCAGAAAGTGAATACAAGCCCAGAGGAATAAAAACGAAACCTTGAGTTGTACATTAACTGATTAAGCGAGATGGTTCTAACCAACAAACAAATAATAACCGGTCTTTTCTGTCCCAAAGCCACAGCGTGAACAACATCTAGCCAAAATGGCCCTGTAATAATACAAGTAATTATTGGTATTCACTGCTTACCTTGTAGTACTCAGCAACTTTGTCGTAATTTGTGTACTGGTGACTCACGTACAAAGTCATGGTGATGGGGCAGCCGTTCTGGTTCCTGCGGTCACTAGTGAACAGCTCGTCGTAGTAGCCAGACACCTGAAATGTGGATAGGAAAATAAGACTTGTTATGCGTTTATAATAAATACAAATGGACCAAGATATGTAGCGAGTCACCTGAAATGTGGATAGGAAAATACGACTTGTTATACTTTTATAATATATGAACATGCACCAAGCCGTGCAGCCAGTCACCTGAAATATGGATAGGAAACTGGACTTGTTATTCCTTTTTTGTATACAATCATGCACCAAGACGCACCACGATATTATTTTATGTCTGAAGGACTATCGCGCTTCTGATAACACACATAATATTATGATACATGTAATATAATCATTTACATAGTTTCAGAACCGTTGTCCAACAATAGAAAGTATTAGAAAGAGTGAATAAACGTAACCAATCCGATGGTGAGGTTAATTCGAAACGTATAAGAAAAGTAAAAAGAACACCAAAAAAAAAAAGAAAATCGAACAAATATGTCATTGCGTCTTTCCTACAGCAAACTTACAGGTTCACTTTTTCCTTCGCTTTATGATTAGTACGCATGAGGCATGCAACGAGAAAACCCCTTTGCGCTCCAAATAAGTAACACAACCGTTTGGTGACTGGCATTGCCGGTTGTCTCAAGGAGCGGAAGAGCGAAAAGATACTGTTAGTTTTGCAGTAGAGGAATGTACACGATTGAGTAGTCTACTGCTGTTTGAGAGTTGGGAAAGCGAAAAGCATTCGCCTTAAAACATACAAGTCGTTTTGAGTTTGTTTGATGTGGTTTCAAAAGCGTAAGTGCCAAGTCTTGCAATTCATCAATGCTCATGAATAGAGTTTTAAAAACTGTTTTAATCTTTCGAAAGAAACATTTATCATGTCATCTTTTCAACTAACGCTCCATTAAGTTATAAACAATGAATTTCCATGCAAAGCACCCAGCGCTCTAAAATATAAATAAGTGTTTCTTTATCTAGGTCCCTTATTTTTGTCTTGGCCGCCTCTCGAATCTTATCTGGGTTCGAAACTCCCTGACCACAAAGCATTTCTTCCAGTTTAGGAAACAGAAAAAAGTCACAAAATGCTAAATCTGGCGAACAAAGTGCATGCCCCAGTTCAGAGACAATGCCGCATGTGTAGACAGGTGTATTGTATTGGTGGAAGATGGCGCAAGATTTTAGCATCCCGGGTCGCTTTTTTTCCAAATGGCTGGCTTTAATTTGTCTTGTACATGTATTTCTAACGTGCAGTATTCACTGTTGAACACTGGTGCCAAAGAGAACTTATCAACACAAAGTTTTGCCTGTAATTGTCAAAGAACACACCGTGCATGACTTCGATTCCGCCTTGTTTTCCAATGCCATTGTCATAGCTTTCCCCTTAGACAATATTGATGTAAATTCACGTTTCTGACATTTCATAGCTCAAGTCAAAATCATACAGCTACAACTTTTGACTCACATATCACAGATGAATACTGTATGGCATCTGAAGATTCTAATGTACTCGGTGATGTGATTTTGAAGTTTCAAAAAAGGGAAACCTCGTTCTTCCAAAATAGCAGACAGACATGTAGACATGGGCAAGAAAACAAGCTGTCCACGACCGATACAACCACAGCATCAGAGAATGAGAGAGATTGACGGAGTACAACGAAGAGGAGCGGGGGGGAGACAAACAGACAGACAGCCAAAAGACAGACAGCCAGACAGACAGACAGACAGACAAACAGAAAGAGTGACAAAGAGACAGAAAGAGTGCAACAGAAAATGTGGAGTAAGATCAATCAAGTTTGGTGTATTCATCACAAACAGCAAGTATGAATCAATAGTATTAAAAGGGACCTTTATGTCGATTCAAGTGCTCCAGAAACTGTGCGTCTCTTCATAAGCGTTTTATTTGTGAACGGCCCACATGAATTTCTTTAAGTACGACCGCATTTGATTTCTTTTCCTTCTATGAAATTCTCAACAATCTCCTTAGAAATCACATTCCGAAACAACCCATCCTCAAAAACTCTTTCTTTTAGGATTCAAACCAATGCCATCTGCATCTGAAATATGTGCCTCTAGAATTTTCGCCATAAAACTGATTCTGGAGAATCGGACTGGTGCGCATAGCGCTTTACACTGAGGGAGCGATCTTCAGGATGAATAAAGCACGCGTTTATGTATTATCTAGTGTTATCAGTGGGCTCTGCCACTTCTTGTACGCTGCACGTTTCGCAATTCGTAGATACCGCTTTAGGTCACTATAAAATGCACATTGTATTCAGTTATCCATTGCACTGAATGTCTTTATTTATAGTAATACTGTAATATCACATGATTATCGAACTATCCTAATGTAATAAGACTCATTTCAAATGATACTATCGACTAAGAGTCATTGAGTTTATAAGGATTAATATGGCAATAGACACATTTCAAAGGGCAAAGGAAAAATAAGGGAGAAACATTTATCAAAGGAACTGATCACATGTGAGCATACACAAAGCACCCAACCTCAATAGGTTGAATTTCAACTCGGAAAGCAGAGGAAAAAGAAGATTCCTGGCGGAGATAAGACGTAGTGACAGGTTTTTAAAAAAAAGTAAGGAAAGACTAGAGAACTGAATAAGGAGGAGGAGGAGGAGGAGGAGGAGGGGGAGGAGGAGGAGGAAAGAGGAGAAGAGGGAGGAGAAGGGGGAGGAGGGGGAGGAGGAGGGGGATATGATACAATCGAAATACAGAATGACGCAAACAGGTAGAAAAAAGAGGGAAGAAACAGTGAAGAGTGTTGGAAAATAAAGATAATGGGGAAGAAAAATGAACACCATGAGAAATACAAATTATTTATGGCATAATCAAGCTCTCGACATATTTAATGATTTGTCAAAGAAGTGTAAATTTAGATTAAGGGTCAACTTGCTATATCATGTAAGCGGTTCGCCTCAAAAGCTTCGAACAAAAAGGTCAAGAATTTTACGTCGGAGACTCAAACTGAGCAGACCAACCCCAATCACAACAAGGTATAATGCCTCTCTCTCTCTCTCTCTCTCTCTCTCTCTCTCTCTCTCTCT